AAACGTTGAAATATAGTTCAAACTCAATAAAAATCGACAAAAATACAGTTTCTAGCTAAAATTTGATGGTTTCGTTGCACTTTCCGAGCCCGTAGGGTATCTGATTGGCTTAAAAGTACAAGAAAACACTTCAAAAGTGACGTTTCTGAAGAATTTTAACAGTTTTCTTGTATCTACGAACGCCAGAATGCATAAAATTGACCTAAACGTCTCCTTTTCCTATTCTGAGTCGATTCTGCATGCTTTAAGTGTGTTTGGTGGCTCAGAACCATCAAAAAACGTTGAAATATAGTTCAAATTCAATAAAAATCGACAAAAATACAGTTTCTAGCTAAAATTTGATGGTTTCGTCGCACTTTCCGAGCCCGTAGGGTTTCTGATTGGCTTAAAAGTACAAGAAAACACTTCAAAAGTGACGTTTCTGAAGAATTTTAACAGTTTTCTTGTATCTACGAACGCCAGAATGCATAAAATTGACCTAAACGTCTCCTTTTCCTATTCTGAGTCGATTCTGCATGCTTTAAGTGTGTTTGGTGGCTCAGAACCATCAAAAACCGTTGAAATATAGTTCAAATTCAATAAAAATCGACAAAAATACAGTTTCTAGCTAAAATTTGATGGTTTCGTTGCACTTTCCGAGCCCGTAGGGTATCTGATTGGCTTAAAAGTACAAGAAAACACTTCAAAAGTGACGTTTCTGAAGAATTTTAACAGTTTTCTTGTATCTACGAACGCCAGAATGCATAAAATTGACCTAAACGTCTCCTTTTCCTATTCTGAGTCGATTCTGCATGCTTTAAGTGTGTTTGGTGGCTCAGAACCATCAAAAAGAAACTGTCGCGGTCGCCATGTGTAACTGTGCTCTAGGTTTCGTGGTCGATTGTAGTGTTTATTTTGCTTTAGTTATTTAAATACTTCAGTGGGTTTTGTTGCTAACGTTAGTTGAAAGGCTCAGGCAGTCTTTTTGAGCTGTTTGGTAATCGTTTAGTTTTGTTTTTAAGTTTTATTACTTTTGAGAATTTTTTTCTTTATTTACAAATTTATTTCTGGTGCTGCCCACCAGGGGCGCCGGCGCCGGCGTGCGCAGTAGTCAGCTGATTTGTGTTTATAAACTTTTAATTAAAATTCATGATGCTCTTTCCTTGTGGTAAATGTCTAGCGGTGATAGATATTGATAGGGCTGCTTTTATAACGTGTAGTGGTACTTGCGATAAGCGGTTTCACACTTCATGTGTTGATGTGCCTGCTGATCTTCATGAGAAGATAATTTCGTGTCCAGGGTTGTTTTGGAAGTGCACGGATTGCTGTCGCAGATGTTTTTCTATTGACCAGGTAGGTCTAATGGACTTATTACAACAGAAATATTCTGAAATGTTAAAAAATCTTGATAAGGTGTTTGAAGATTTAAAATCTAATTTTATCAGAACAGCAGTTGATAAAAATAATGATCCCCAAGTTACTGTTCCTTCCTATTCAGATATATTGAGTAACAATACTCAGCCAGCTATATTAATTAAACCTAAATCTGAACAAACGGCTGTCAAAACGAAAATTGATGTCAAAGAAAATATTAGTACAGTGGATATGCAGTTATCTCTATCCAAAGTTAAGTCGGTCAAAGATGGGGGCGTGGTAGTGGGTTTTTCGTCAAGGGAGGAAAATCTTCGCTTTAAAAAAGCTGCAAAGGAGAAACTTTCTGATAATTATGAAATACGTGAACTAAAAGGTGTTCAGCCTCGTGTAAAAATTGTGGGCTTAAATCAAATTTACAAAGAAAATGAGATTGTTGAGTATGTAGAGCACGCGGTTAGAAACAATTCTACTGACATTAATTTAGCGTCTGAATGTACTTTTATTAAATTATGGCCCACGAAGAAAAATCCTAAAATTTATCAGGTTTTGGTGCAATTAGATAGAAAATCTTATGATTTTCTAATGAATGCTGGGGGACTGTTTATAGGATATGATCACTGTTCTGTTTTTGATGCGGTACAAATCTTAAGATGTTTTAATTGTAATGGCTATCATCACAGTTCCAAAAGTTGTAAAAGCCTTAAATCTTGTCCTAGGTGTGCGATGAACGATCATGCTGTTAGGGATTGTACTGCTGAGCATTTGAAATGTGTTAATTGTTTGACTGCAATAGAGAAAGAGAATTTAGATGTTGACCCCAACCATGCGGCATGGGATGTTTTGTGTCCTGTTTTTATAAAAGCAGTTGAAAAGTTTAAAAAGGACATCCTTTTTAAGCAGTGACTATCTCCCTTTGCAAGGAACAGTGATTTTAAACAGGTAAATCATAACTCCCCACTGTTAATATACTATCAAAATGTCCGTGGCTTAAACTCTAAAACTGTTGAGTTTTATAATAATGTTTTATTGTCTAATTTTGATGTTATTGCATTATCTGAAACTTGGCTTCACCAAGAATTTCAAAATAGTGAACTTTTTTCTTCTAACTTTGTGGTGTTTCGGAAGGATAGGAATTTTAAATCACTGAATTTGTCTAGGGGTGGAGGTGTTTTATTAGCCGTTAAATCCTCCTTATCTGTTAAACCAATTAATATAAATGATGACATTATGAAACTTTTGGGTAAAATTGATATTGTAGGTGTAGAACTTTCTATTGCTGGAAAATCGGTGTTTATTTTTTCAATTTATTTTCCTCCTGATGTTAGTTCTGATCATTTTTCTACTTTTGCTGATGTGATACATTCATTTCATTTTATTTATGGATCCAATATAATATTTATTGGAGACTTTAATATTCCTGATTTTCATTGTAACTATAATTCTGGTCATATTTCAGGTCCGATAGTTCCCATAATGCTTCTAATGGAAAGCTTAAAACTGAAACAATATAATTCTATTCTTAATATAAAAAATAGACTACTTGATTTAGTGTTGTCTAATGTACCTTGCTTAGTATCAAATTGTGAAGACTATATTGTTTCAATTGATGATCACCATCCCCCATTACTAATTACAGTCAATGATTTATGTAAAGCTAAATGTAAATATATAACACCTAAATCTAGAATCTATGATTACAACTTTTACAAAGTTGAGATGAATTCTCTAAAAGATGAGCTTACTAAGGTAGACTGGTCTTTCTTAAGTGAATGCAGTGATGTGAATTTAGCATGTTCCTTATTTTATAATAAGCTGTATGAGATATTTGATTTGATAATTCCAAGACGCCGTCATTGCAAAAGAGAATATCCTCCTTGGTTTTCGAATCAGCTTATTAATAAAATTAAGAAAAAATTTAAATTGTGGCATGCGTATAAAACTCAAAATGATTTTTCAGTTTATGAACAATTTAAAGTCTTAAGGAGAGATATTAAAAGAGAAACCTTGAAGCTATATAAACAATATGTGTTAAACCTAGAAAATAATATCTCAAAGGATTGCAATAAGTTCTGGCAATTTATTAAGTTGAAGAAGAAAGGGACGGGTATTCCTGTTAGTATGACTTACAAAGGAGAGTGTGTTGATGGACCTGAATCGATTGCGAAATCTTTTGCAGCTCATTTTAAGTCAGCCTATTGTTCGAATATTAATAACTCTAATTTCAGATATGATTTTGATTCTCTGTCCTGCTGGTCTTTAAATATGGTGTCAGAACAGAATGTTGTGAAAGCCATTTTAAGATTAAAACCTAAGTACACTGTAGGCCATGATGGGGTTCCAGCTATTTTGATTAGAGAATGCGCTTCGAATTTTAGTGAACCTTTGATGACGTTATTCAATTTGGCGTTAAAACTGAATACATTTCCAAATTTATGGAAATCAGCCATGATCTTACCTATTTTCAAAAAAGATGATCCTACAATAATTGAAAATTACAGACCGGTTTCCTTACTTAATAATTTTTCAAAAATTTTTGAATATCTAATTTTTGACTGTATTCTATATAATGTAAAGAACCATTTATCTGAGTGTCAACATGGTTTTTTTGAGGGCAGGTCTACTGTTACTAATTTGTGTATGTTTACGCAGTTTGTTTCAAAAAATTTAGATTCACGTTTACAGATTGACACTATATACACAGACTTCTCAAAAGCGTTTGACAGGCTCCAACACAAGGTACTTATTGAAAAACTTGGTAAATTGGGCTGTTCTCAAGATTTCTTGTATTTTCTTGGTTCTTATTTAACAGGTCGTAGTCTTTCTGTTTGTGTACATGGTTACTTTTCGGAAGAATTCACAGCTTTTTCGGGCGTTCCGCAGGGGTCTGTGTTGGGTCCGCTGCTCTTTAATATATTTATTAATGACATTACTCAAGTTTTGACTGTGCCATGCTTATTGTATGCTGATGACATGAAACTATTTTCGGTTATAAGAGGTGTAGATGACTGCATAGAATTGCAAAACAACATCAACAGGGTTGTTGCTTGGGGAAAAAAGAACAGCTTGCTTCTGAACGGTAAGAAATGTGTAGCTAAGACATTCAGCAACAAAGTGAGCAATATTCTCTACGACTATGCAGTTGATAATTTAATATTAGATAGACCAGTGACTGTTGAAGATCTTGGTGTGACATTTGATAGCAAATTAAGCTTTACGGATCACATGCTTAAAATCTGCAAAAAAGCATATGCAGTATATGGTTGCATTCTAAGGAATACTAAAGATTTCAATAATATAACAACATTGTTGCATATATATAGGACGTGCATTCGGAGTATAATCGAATATGCAAATATTGTTTGGTTTCCTTATCAAAAGAAGTATGCAAATATGTTGGAAAAAGTTCAAAGACGTTTTTTAAAATATATTTGCTTCAGAGAAGATAGTGTATATCCTCCTTTAGGAGTTGAACAATCTAAGCTACTTGAAAGATTTTCTATTTTAAGTTTATCTGATAGATATAAAACTACCACTGTGTACTTCTTATATAAAATCTTAAATTTTAAAATAAACTGTTCAGATCTGTTATATCAAATTGAATTCCATATTAATAAACGTTTTCTTGCAACCAGAGTGCACAATGTGTTCTACATGTCCACACCTCGAACCGATTTTCTACGATTCTCACCTATGTATAACATGTTGAGATTGGGTAATTCTGCACAAAGGACTGTAGATCTATTTAATACAAATCCTAATCAATTAAGACTAATAGATGTGAAATATTTATAAACCTACTTAATGATGGCATGTTGTGTGTATGTTCTGTAATTGGGTTTTAACCTGTAGAGCATACTAACATATAATAATAATAATAATAATAATAAAAAACGTTGAAATATAGTTCAAATTCAATAAAAATCGACAAAAATACAGTTTCTAGCTAAAATTTGATGGTTTCGTTGCACTTTCCGAGCCCGTAGGGTATCTGATTGGCTTAAAAGTACAAGAAAACACTTCAAAAGTGACGTTTCTGAAAAATTTTAACAGTTTTCTTGTATCTACGAACGCCAGAATGCATAAAATTGACCTAAACGTCTCCTTTTCCTATTCTGAGTCGATTCTGCATGCTTTAAGTGTGTTTGGTGGCTCAGAACCATCAAAAAACGTTGAAATATAGTTCAAATTCAATAAAAATCGACAAAAATACAGTTTCTGGCTAAAATTTGATGGTTTCGTTGCACTTTCCGAGCCCGTAGGGTATCTGATTGGCTTAAAAGTACAAGAAAACACTTCAAAAGTGACGTTTCTGAAGAATTTTAACAGTTTTCTTGTATCTACGGACGCCAGAATGCATAAAATTGACCTAAACGTCTCCTTTTCCTATTCTGAGTCGATTCTGCATGCTTTAAGTGTGTTTGGTGGCTCAGAACCATCAAAAAACGTTGAAATATAGTTCAAATTCAATAAAAATCGACAAAAATACAGTTTCTAGCTAAAATTTGATGGTTTCGTTGCACTTTCCGAGCCCGTAGGGTATCTGATTGGCTTAAAACTACAAGAAAACACTTCAAAAGTGACGTTTCTGAAGAATTTTAACAGTTTTCTTGTATCTACGAACGCCAGAATGCATAAAATTGACCTAAACGTCTCCTTTTCCTATTCTGAATCGATTCTGCATGCTTTAAGTGTGTTTGGTGGCTCAGAACCATCAAAAAACGTTGAAATATAGTTCAAATTCAATAAAAATCGACAAAAAGACAGTTTCTAGCTAAAATTTGATGGTTTCGTTGCACTTTCCGAGCCCGTTGGATATCTGATTGGCTTAAAAGTACAAGAAAACACTTCAAAAGTGACGTTTCTGAAGAATTTTAACAGTTTTCTTGTATCTACGAACGCCAGAATGCATAAAATTGACCTAAACGTCTCCTTTTCCTATTCTGAGTCGATTCTGCATGCTTTAAGTGTGTTTGGTGGCTCAGAACCATCAAAAAACGTTGAAATATAGTTCAAATTCAATAAAAATCGACAAAAATACAGTTTCTAGCTAAAATTTGATGGTTTCGTTGCACTTTCCGAGCCCGTAGGGTATCTGATTGGCTTAAAAGTACAAGAAAACACTTCAAAAGTGACGTTTCTGAAGAATTTTAACAGTTTTCTTGTATCTACGAACGCCAGAATGCATAAAATTGACCTAAACGTCTCCTTTTCCTATTCTGAGTCGATTCTGCATGCTTTAAGTGTGTTTGGTGGCTCAGAACCATCAAAAAACGTTGAAATATAGTTCAAATTCAATAAAAATCGACAAAAATTCAGTTTCTAGCTAAAATTTGATGGTTTCGTTGCACTTTCCGAGCCCGTAGGGTATCTGATTGGCTTAAAAGTACAAGAAAACACTTCAAAAGTAACGTTTCTGAAGAATTTTAACAGTTTTCTTGTATCTACGAACGCCAGAATGCATAAAATTGACCTAAACGTCTCCTTTTCCTATTCTGAGTCGATTCTGCATGCTTTAAGTGTGTTTGGTGGCTCAGAACCATCAAAAAACGTTGAAATATAGTTCAAACTCAATAAAAATCGACAAAAATACAGTTTCTAGCTAAAATTTGATGGTTTCGTTGCACTTTCCGAGCCCGTTGGGTATCTGATTGGCTTAAAAGTACAAGAAAACACTTCAAAAGTGACGTTTCTGAAGAATTTTAACAGTTTTCTTGTATCTACGAACGCCAGAATGCATAAAATTGACCTAAACGTCTCCTTTTCCTATTCTGAGTCGATTCTGCATGCTTTAAGTGTGTTTGGTGGCTCAGAACCATTAAAAAACGTTGAAATATAGTTCAAATTCAATAAAAATCGACAAAAATACAGTTTCTAGCTAAAATTTGATGGTTTCGTCGCACTTTCCGAGCCCGTTGGGTTTCTGATTGGCTTAAAAGTACAAGAAAACACTTCAAAAGTGACGTTTCTGAAGAATTTTAACAGTTTTCTTGTATCTACGAACGCCAGAATGCATAAAATTGACCTAAACGTCTCCTTTTCCTATTCTGAGTCGATTCTGCATGCTTTAAGTGAGTTTGGTGGCTCAGAACCATCAAAAACCGTTGAAATATAGTTCAAATTCAATAAAAATCGACAAAAATACAGTTTCTAGCTAAAATTTGATGGTTTCGTTGCACTTTCCGAGCCCGTAGGGTATCTGATTGGCTTAAAAGTACAAGAAAACACTTCAAAAGTGACGTTTCTGAAGAATTTTAACAGTTTTCTTGTATCTACGAACGCCAGAATGCATAAAATTGACCTAAACGTCTCCTTTTCCTATTCTGAGTCGATTCTGCATGCTTTAAGTGTGTTTGGTGGCTCAGAACCATCAAAAAACGTTGAAATATAGTTCAAATTCAATAAAAATCGACAAAAATACAGTTTCTAGCTAAAATTTGATGGTTTCGTTGCACTTTCCGAGCCCGTAGGGTATCTGATTGGCTTAAAAGTACAAGAAAACACTTCAAAAGTGACGTTTCTGAAGAATTTTAACAGTTTTCTTGTATCTGCGAACGCCAGAATGCATAAAATTGACCTAAACGTCTCCTTTTCCTATTCTGAGTCGATTCTGCATGCTTTAAGTGTGTTTGGTGGCTCAGAACCATCAAAAAACGTTGAAATATAGTTCAAATTCAATAAAAATCGACAAAAATACAGTTTCTAGCTAAAATTTGATGGTTTCGTTGCACTTTCCGAGCCCGTAGGGTATCTGATTGGCTTAAAAGTACAAGAAAACACTTCAAAAGTGACGTTTCTGAAGAATTTTAACAGTTTTCTTGTATCTACGAACGCCAGAATGCATAAAATTGACCTAAACGTCTCCTTTTCCTATTCTGAGTCGATTCTGCATGCTTTAAGTGTGTTTGGTGGCTCAGAACCATCAAAAAACGTTGAAATATAGTTCAAATTCAATAAAAATCGACAAAAATACAGTTTCTAGCTAAAATTTGATGGTTTCGTTGCACTTTCCGGGCCCGTAGGGTATCTGATTGGCTTAAAAGTACAAGAAAACACTTCAAAAGTGACGTTTCTGAAGAATTTTAACAGTTTTCTTGTATCTGCGAACGCCAGAATGCATAAAATTGACCTAAACGTCTCCTTTTCCTATTCTGAGTCGATTCTGCATGCTTTAAGTGTGTTTGGTGGCTCAGAACCATCAAAAAACGTTGAAATATAGTTCAAATTCAATAAAAATCGACAAAAATACAGTTTCTAGCTAAAATTTGATGGTTTCGTTGCACTTTCCGAGCCCGTAGGGTATCTGATTGGCTTAAAAGTACAAGAAAACACTTCAAAAGTGACGTTTCTGAAGAATTTTAACAGTTTTCTTGTATCTACGAACGCCAGAATGCATAAAATTGACCTAAACGTCTCCTTTTCCTATTCTGAGTCGATTCTGCATGCTTTAAGTGTGTTTGGTGGCTCAGAACCATCAAAAAACGTTGAAATATAGTTCAAATTCAATAAAAATCGACAAAAATACAGTTTCTAGCTAAAATTTGATGGTTTCGTTGCACTTTCCGAGCCCGTAGGGTATCTGATTGGCTTAAAAGTACAAGAAAACACTTCAAAAGTGACGTTTCTGAAGAATTTTAACAGTTTTCTTGTATCTACGAACGCCAGAATGCATAAAATTGACCTAAACGTCTCCTTTTCCTATTCTGAGTCGATTCTGCATGCTTTAAGTGTGTTTGGTGGCTCAGAACCATCAAAAAACGTTGAAATATAGTTCAAATTCAATAAAAATCGACAAAAATACAGTTTCTAGCTAAAATTTGATGGTTTCGTTGCACTTTCCGAGCCCGTTGGGTATCTGATTGGCTTAAAAGTACAAGAAAACACTTCAAAAGTGACGTTTCTGAAGAATTTTAACAGTTTTCTTGTATCTACGAACGCCAGAATGCATAAAATTGACCTAAACTTCTCCTTTTCCTATTCTGAGTCGATTCTGCATGCTTTAAGTGTGTTTGGTGGCTCAGAACCATCAAAAAACGTTGAAATATAGTTCAAATTCAATAAAAATCGACAAAAATACAGTTTCTAGCTAAAATTTGATGGTTTCGTTGCACTTTCCGAGCCCGTAGGGTATCTGATTGGCTTAAAAGTACAAGAAAACACTTCAAAAGTGACGTTTCTGAAGAATTTTAACAGTTTTCTTGTATCTACGAACGCCAGAATGCATAAAATTGACCTAAACGTCTCCTTTTCCTATTCTGAGTCGATTCTGCATGCTTTAAGTGTGTTTGGTGGCTCAGAACCATCAAAAAACGTTGAAATATAGTTCAAATTCAATAAAAATCGACAAAAATACAGTTTCTAGCTAAAATTTGATGGTTTCGTTGCACTTTCCGAGCCCGTTGGGTATCTGATTGGCTTAAAAGTACAAGAAAACACTTCAAAAGTGACGTTTCTGAAGAATTTTAACAGTTTTCTTGTATCTACGAACGCCAGAATGCATAAAATTGACCTAAACGTCTCCTTTTCCTATTCTGAGTCGATTCTGCATGCTTTAAGTGTGTTTGGTGGCTCAGAACCATCAAAAAACGTTGAAATATAGTTCAAATTCAATAAAAATCGACAAAAATACAGTTTCTAGCTAAAATTTGATGGTTTCGTTGCACTTTCCGAGACCGTAGGGTATCTGATTGGCTTAAAAGTACAAGAAAACACTTCAAAAGTGACGTTTCTGAAGAATTTTAACAGTTTTCTTGTATCTACGAACGCCAGAATGCATAAAATTGACCTAAACGTCTCCTTTTCCTATTCTGAGTCGATTCTGCATGCTT